AGAGGTTTGCCAATGCAGGCCTCCGTCCCAAATCCTCGCACACGTGGACGTGACGTCTTTACAGTTGTGCAGCCGCACCGCGCTCCTCGGGGCCCAGAACGTCACCTGTCATCGAATCTCCTGCTGCTGTTCCGCCACAGCATCAAAGCCCATCATCTTCGTCGAATCCAGGATTCGCACTCTTCGGTTGTAATTTGTTGAGTCGCACCTGGTTGGCACGCTGATGAGCAGCAAAAATCTCCATGGCGCTACGTTTTGTGGGACCGGGCAGCATGGGTAAAGTGCTTTTAAGCAGAAGAGCCGCATGGATGTGGGAGCCCATGCCATCGGGAATGATAGCCCTCAAATTTTCCTCTTGTGGAACGACAGCTTCAGCTGTCTCAACCAGCACCGGCCACAAGCGATGTGTGGCATCCAGGAAGATCATTGGCGCACCAACCGGAAGGTGCTGGAAGATCTGCGGGAAGGCTCCTTGCAGCCTATTCTGGCTCAGAATTGCCGCCTCGTTCTCATGCAAGACATAGGATGCGATCACAATGTCAGCCCCACAGACTGTATCGATGATCTCCCAGCAGTCCGAAGAGCGGAGATCTACTGGAGCGATGAGCTCCACAAACTCGGCCTCTTGACGTGGCCAAATCTTGCTTGACACTTCCGCCACTGCAGCAACTGCTGAGCCCCAGGCAGGGGCTAGATCTAATACCGTGCAACGAATGCTGCAAAGCAAATCATCGCAGCGATTGAAACCCTCAGAGTTGACAGCCGGCTCCTCAGACATGGCTTCAGCTAGCGACTCCAGTGTCGCAAGGAGTGCGACCACATCAAAAGCAGGTCCCCCACCCAGGCTGGCGATGCGAAGCTGTCGACCTTCCTGGGTCACTGCGGCACATCTTCGGAGCAAGCAGTGCAAGATTTCACCGGAGTCCTCCGCGAGAAGGACCTCGAAGACTGCGCGGCTTCTTGGCCGCAACCTCTTCAGCGCGTACGCGCCAAGGGCCCCCTCATCCTCGAAACACACGGTCTTGCCATCAACTAGGGCACCAGTCAGATTTTGACTCAGTTCGTTGTGCGCCTGCTTACATGCCACGTGCGCAAGGCGGTCGTCAAGAGCTTCCTGAAACTGGCCGAGCAAACAATTAAAGCGAGCCCTGGCGTGCTGCATAAAGCGTTTCCGACAACGTCGGCTGGGGTACTCAAGGGCCGAAACCATAGATGCGAGACAGTTGAGCTGCGCTGGCGCTTGCTGTGGACGTATCTCTACTTCAGCGCAAACCTGTGAGCCATGTTCACTGGCTGGGAAGTTGCTGCAGCATGCTTGCTTCTTGTGTTTGCTACTAGTAGAAGGCAACCCGAACTCCGACTCGAACCTCCCCCAGCTACTCCCGTCGGCCCCCAGGATACTCTATCGTGCAATGGCTTGGGTGATTGACAGCAGTGCTGCAGAGTGGTAAGTTTCCAGGTTGAGGCTAGGGTCTCGTCAACGTCCTGATGCCTGGAGCGATGTTCGGGGGATTGGTGTCGACTCGTTTTCTGCATGACCCCGCAGGTCAGATGACAACCTCTTCAGGCAGCTCGAGGCCATTCTGAGCCATGAGTTCCCTTAGGCGCAGTGCATCTTCACCAGGGATTGCAGGTGGCTCGTGCATAGGATCTTCCAGCTCACCATCCCTGGCCACAGCGCGTCGCCAGAGAGCCTGCACTGCTCTGGCCATCGCCCCCAGAGGAGTCTCTGGGTTCAAAATGCTCCAGTCATGATCTCCACTTTTGCGCAAGAAGGACAACAGCATCTGCTCAGCGATGGCAGCCCCGGACTCCTCAACGTCGCTCTCTTGTCCGAGGCCAGCCGCTGTCAGGGCTTCTTGGCACTCAGTTGCCAAGACTTCCCAGATACTTTCGGGCACTTCGATTCCCAAGGGTTGAATCAAATCGGCATTCGACAAAAGCACGCACCATGCAGCCAGTTCGGGGGCGCTGGGCTGTCCTTGTCCACCACGATGAAAGACGCTCTCAGATTTCAGCTTCGCCGGGAAGCCATCCAACATGCTTTTGAAGAGCCGAGAAGCCTCTGGCAGAATCTTTTCGGCGTTGACCCGGGAAGTTAAGACGGGCATCAAGGAACAGTAGCCCTGAAGCACCTGGCGCGCTTCGTGCACCCGCAGACGGAACAGGTCAGGACGGACGGCCTGTGCGAGGGCAACGGCAGTTTCCACTAATGCTGCTTCCGACGTCGGATACTGCACGAGGATTCGTGGGAACAGACTTGCAAGGCTGGCTGCTTCTGGAATCAAAAGATGCGGTGTATGACCAGGCAAAGCTTTCAGCAGCGGTTGAACCAGCTCGGCATTTGAGACAGGAGCAGCCTCAGCTGCTTCCACTGCGACACGTAGCCACTGCACCTGTTGCTCGGCTGACCATACGGGCTGCATTGATCCTGCAGAAGCAGCCACCAGCTCCGCAGCCAAACAGGAGTCTGCCTCAGCCCTTTTCTGTGTCAGAAGGAGTGCAGATGCCAGAATCTGTGGGCTCGGTAGCTTTGAGGGCTGTCCCTTTTGGCTTACCATCAGGCACATGTAGCTGGCATCGCCGGTCTGGATGAAGCGCAGGCGCGGCAGGTCGAAGGACCGAAGAGACTCACTCAAGTTGGCAGTGATCCTGTCCACAGCATCGCGACCCGATATTGAAGGCCTCTCACGCACTATAAGATGCTCCGCATTTTCCAACGGAGCGGGCACTTCCACCTTGTCCAGAAGCGCCAGGACTTGCCAGGCCCAGGCCGCAGTGGCGCAGGTTTGCTCCAAGGATCTTGATTGAGGTCCAGGTAAGGCTCGATCCAACAAGGCTGCGAGCAGCTCCCCATCCAAACCTTCCAGCGACGAGAAGCTTTTCAGCGCGCTGAGAGCCAAAGCAGGTGCCAGCTCTGCGCTGTCACGTAGCAGAACCTTTCGGGCTTCCCCCATCAACAGAGGAAGTGGGTATTGCGCTCGCGCAAAGGACGCAAGAACGTCCACTGCCAGCACGTGATCCAAACATCGCTCATCATCTGAAGATGCGACAACTAGTGCAACGACATTCAACATTCCATGATGCACAGAATCGATTGACGAATACACATTTGCCAAGCAGGCTAGGTCCTGAACAGTGAAAGAGCCAAGATGTTCGACAGATAGCATTGCAATCTTCCAGAGCAGCCGCAACTGGCCAGACTGTCGTTCCCCCACGCACCGAGCAATCGCCAAGAGCTCTGCGGGGGTCATGGACATGGCAACGAGCTCTGCCCTGCGACAGAGTGCCTGCCACTGCAGCTCGTCTGCCTGCCCGTTACGTGCAGATACGATGGCTGCCACGAGCTCCTCATGGTTTAGTGTGGCCACTGGCTGGTACCCATCCTCGCAAGACCAAAGCGGGCCTCGAGGCCGTCGAGGATCATCCTTGCCTACGAGCTCTGATCGGCCGGCTGCTGTTCGCCACTTCTCCTCCCAGTCCCATCCCTCGTCCCACTCTGCATCCCAGGAATCCCACCAGCGCACTGTAGACTCTTCCCCGCCAGAAGTACTCACCTCGACGAGTGCATCTTTCACCTCCTGTGCGTAGTGCACCTCCTTGCGGTGCCTGGTCGTAGCGAAACCGGGTCAAGACATCGTCTCTAGCCCCCTACTGTTCTACTCGACTCCGGGAAGCTTGAATTGCAGGCCGTGGCTCCAGCGAAGTGCCTCACGTGCATCTTGGGCATCCTTCCGACACAAGGATAAGGACAAGTTTGGGCGTTCCCTGTACCCTGAAAGAGCCCATTGAAGCTGTTGAGGTCCTTCGCGAAGTCAGCCTGCGCGAATGCTCGGAGCTGACGAAAGTTCTTGCTCTGCTTGTCGTCATCCTTTTGTCACAAATTGACAAAGCACGCAGGCTCGAAGCAAGGAGGTTTTTGGCACCTTTGGTCTTGAGGAATGGGCTTCATCACCAAAACACCGACTGGGAGCCCGACCTTCAATGCCTCGGAGGTCCTTTAGTTTTTTGGTTCAATGATTGTTCAACATGAGGCAAGAGGTGGCTAGTGGAACCGGGCGATTTCGAAACTTGATAACTTGATCAATAGCAGCCAGGTTTATTTCGCTTTCCGAGCGGGACATCATACTGGTGGGCAGGAACTCTGACATCCTGCTTCTGGCTTGGAGCTTCTGCCCTTGCCTCCTCGCCCCAAACATCAGCACCCCGATTTGCTCGCCGCCGGTTGCGCCGAGGCCGCTCGGCCGTTGAGCCTGTAGGTATGTGTGTGTGTGTGTGTGTGTCTGTGTGCATGTCGGACTTGCTTCGTAGAGGCTCAATTCTCCGAGGCTTGGCTCTGATATTGCGGAGGACATGTGAAACCTGCATGACTTGTCTGCAACGCCTAGTGTGTTTTCGATCCGGGTTCGGAAATCACTCCCAAAAGCTCAAGCATTCCTTTTGGACAGAAAGTCCTGCGAATGAACGTAGAATCTGCTTGTGCCCCAGACAGGGCTCACGGCCAAGGGTTGATCGAAGAAACAGCCAACCACGCATCGATTCTCATCTTGCACGGCCATGGCAGCGCAAGGGTGCCATGCAGGCCACGCCCGACTGAGGTATTGCCCTGGAACTGGTATAGGCACCACGTCATCAATGTCTCGCCCTAAGCCTGAACCTACCATCTGGTAATATGTTTCAGGCGACATGAGTCTCTGAGTTGTGCTAGTATACGACAGAGTTCTAGCACCCGCAATATATCTGTTGAGGCGCCTTTTGTTGGGAGGAAAGCAGTGTTCTTGAGGTAGTGTTCGTCCAACTGCGATTGTCTGCCGTGCCTTTGTACTCTGAGCTATCCGGCATGAAAGCATGGAGAAGCAGCGCTTGCCGTGCAGTTGAACAGGATGAAGCTGCTTGGACTTAGGCCAAGCAATCGGCAGGTCAAATTTGGGATTGGGAAGCCCATGAAGGAAGCTGCTTCACCTCCGCTGACACTGTGACCGCTTCTTCTGCTTTTTCACTCAAGACGCTGAGATTCGGAAGCCCGTGTCAGCAATGTTAAAGGTGGTCTTGCCGTCAGTCACACGGAGGTAGTACTCCTTGTCCTGTAAGCTGTCTGCATGCAAGAGAGCTTCCACCATAAATCCCTGAAAGGTGAGCCGGCGGCGTCCTGCTTGCGCGACCATATCCGGATCCAACCTTGTGCTTGTGCACATCCGCCAAGCAGTACACCACTGAGCAACTCCAGACATGAGATGACAACACATGACAACTGCCGGCAGTTCCTGGCCTCGTGGCAGCGGTGGATGGCCCCAAAACACCCGTTCCTCTCTACAGCACAGCCTAAGAAGCTCAACTAAATAACGGGACTTTGGTGCACATCGCGTCCGACATCACGGCAGAACCACCACAACTACAGCCACAACAGCAGCAACAACACCAACGACAACAAGAATCGCATGTTATGCAGATGCAGTCGGTCTTCCCTTCCGGCGGCAACTCCGTCCTGCAAGGCTTGCCAAGTTTGGTTGTCCTGCCACACAGGTTCTTTTGCATCCAAGATGCGCTACGAGAGTGCAGGCATCGAGTCAAGGGCAAAAGATGAGCAACTTCTGAAAGAGCACAAACAGTTGCAGTCAAACCACACTTTGCAAATCGCCTGTGAGCCGACAGTCGTAGCATCAAGCTGCTTATGAAGACCATCTTAGAGGGGCTCTTTGTACTTTGATTTGGTCCGTCCTTGGGCCAAGGCAGTGCCCGCAGCTCTTGGAGCGGGTTGCTCCGGGTTGCCAGACCTCCACTCAAGGTAGTCAAGTTCCTCTGTCAACTTGCGCTTGCCTAGCTTACGCCGTCACTGCGAACTGCAAAAGGCTCATATTCTCGCGGCTCTGCGGTCATCCACAATCCAAGCCGAAGCTGGCGCATCACTGTGCTTTCTGCTAGCTGGTCAGCGCGTCTTGTGCTCTTCTCAGAACGGCAGCTCAAAGCTGGACTTGCCTAGGCAACGTGATGATGCGCAGCGAGTAGTTGACTTGACCGGCAGTATCATACGCTCAGGTCAAGACTGACCCTGCAGAAGGATGGCATCACTTCATGACTTCATACATACATGTACGTGAAGGCTCTGCTATGGTCTGCTCACACTTGCGGCATCTAGTCGCATGCACAGTGCGGCTTGGCAGCCCTTCGAGTTTGTCTTCGCGGCAGCCATGGTTGTGCTGCAATTGCGCATTGTGGTGTGGAGTAGCCCGAGGAGCAAAGTCAGCTGCATGAGCATGCGGAAGACGCCTTGCCATGGCTTCAAGAACTTCGAAGCTACGACGACGACGACGACGACAAGTAGGCAGCATAGGCAGCATAGGCAGCCCAGGAGCTTCCACTTGCCCTCGGTGTCTCCTGGACCACAAGCAGCTCTTGATCCGACCAGGAGAGCTCCAGGACATCCTCCACAATCACCTCAGAAGAGGACCCCTGTTCCGCTGCTCCGGCGATGCTGAGAGCTACTGGCAGTTAGCTAGTTGTGGCATCGTGGGGCGTCTCAGGGCCGAGGCGCCTGTGAGGTCAAATGCTCTTCTGCAAGCTGGGCCCTTTCCGTTCTGTTCACGGTCGCCTTCTCCTTTTCCCAGTAAGTTGGGGTCAGGACCGCGGCATCTTCAGCGATCTGCGGGTACGGGCACTCGTGCGGGAAGGCGTAGTGCATCCACTGGGCGAAAAGCCGTCCGTGCAGGGGCACCTGACCGTCGTTCTGCTTCGCGATGAGGTGCAGCTTCTGCTCCAGTGCGGAAGGGACCTGGCGTGGAGCATCGACGGTGGCCGAGGACATGTTCACCACGAGGTCCAGCAAGCGATGGGCCGTGGTTGTCGGAGCCAGCACCTTGGCCTCCAACTCGTTCATCAGCCCTTCGCACTCGTTCAGGCAGCAGACGGAGTAGTAGGAGGATGATGCGATGCAATTCGAGGGACCAGTCATGTAGTTGGCAATGCGAACATGCAGGTCTCCCGTGCCGGACTCCTGCAGAGCCCCGATCTGTCGAAGGTACTCCCGGGTCTCCGTGAAGTGGTACTCCGCATTCTCCGGCTGCGAGTAGAAGCGACCCAAGGGCACCAGGCCATTGCCTTCGCTGTCTAAGTCCATGAGCTCATGCTTCATCTGCTGGCACTCTGTGTTTTGCCACTTGCCGTACCCATGAGCCATGCCCTCGACAATGGTCACAGCATCTTCGAAATCAAACAGTTCCTCCCTGACAAAGGGATTCCTCGTATCCTTGTTCGCATAGAGATAATTGTGGAGGGAATCCTGCTCAAACTCTACAAGAAGTGGCCAGTTGCTGGACACTTCGGCGGCACGGGCCTTAAGAGCTCGATGTAGGTCCGTGTTGTTCAGATCTGCTTTCTGACCCATCTCAAAAAGGACCAGATAAGAGCTTAAGACTTCATGCATAGCTCGCTCATCCACTTGCTCTACCGGAGCAATGGAGTTGAGCCGGTATGCGGCCTGGAGCAGGATCACGGCCTCGTCGAAGATGAGGCGCTCCAGGGTGGCGAGCATGGCCACGGCGTCGGCGAGCGCGAGGCCGCGGCCCTTTCTCTGGGCCTCCAAGAGGGACTCCACGAGTGCCGGGGCCTTGTCCTGCAGGATGTTGACTTCGTGGACCTGTGACATGTCGGCCTGGTGGCCGTGCGGCTCCAAGCCCTTGATGAGCCAGCCGTGCTCCTTGGCGAAGTAGTTGTGCACGAGATATCGCACTGCGCGAGGGCCGATGTGGCCGAACTCGTTCTTCGGCAGCGACTGGTAGGTCTGCCAGATGCTCTGCTCGATCTTCTCGAGCTTCGACCACGACCCGCCCCGCAGCACCTCCTGCATGGAATCCTGCAAAGACTGCCGAACCTCTTCCACTGCCAACATGTGGCTACCACGAATGCTTGCTGCGGGTGACGAAGCAGTAGCCCCGGAAGCGGCCACAAACATCAAAATGAATGTCGCCTCAGCTGTGCAAGGCGGGGAGAGCTGGTGAGTCTGATCTGCGTTGCATGCCGATGCCTACTGCATCTCAACTAATCCTTGCGGCTGCGTGGCCATCTCGACCAATTTATGTAAGGAGTAGAGCTTGCAGAAGTCTCGGAAGACTCCCGATGTTTCTTGCAAAAGCGAATGAGCGCTTTGAACCCAAGCAAAGCACGGGACATGCTGCCCTGCCTTAAAGTCCTGCTCCGCACTGTTCCTACTTCGGTCCCCTTTACAGCTCTTCGCACTAAGCACTTTTTGAGAATCTCTCAAGCAGCAAAATGTGCGGGCATTATGCATTTTCCTGTGACTCGCACTTCTTCCGGCCTGGTCTTTGCAAGGGCTGACTCAGAATGGAAGCTCTGCTGCATTGCATTTGCCACAGCCTTTCCGCCGGAGCTTCGGGCTTCAGTGGCTTCAGGCTTCCACACAGACCTGAAATCGTTTTCCTCACACGGTCATCTACATTAGCCTGTAATAGGCTCAGCTTCAAGATGTTGGAATTGGCTCCAGCTCCCCTTCTCATGGCGAGTGAGGGTCTGCTTGAAAGGCCTTTATGGATTCAACTATGATTTGTCTATCCCTTGCTCAGCGCAACTCAGGAGGAGCGAACCATGGAAGCGAGAGTTCGCAAGCTCCAAACACCGGGAGCCTATCCAAAACTGACTCCGGCCGCAACTCTCAGGAATTAAGAGTCCAAGATGCTTGCCCGCTGCACTGGAAGCATGTTTGTCTATAAAGAATTGTCTATCAAGAACTCTCCCTTTCTTTTTCCTGGGTTCAAGGGGCATGAGAGGGCCTCAAGCATGCGGCACCCTCTCACTATCTCCCTCTTCCGTGCGATCCACTTGCTGCGTTGTAGAAAAACCCAATTCTTGGGGGCAAACAGACCTGCACTGGAACTGCCTCCAACAGCAACCTTGATCCCCAATCCATGCTCGATCTCCACACTTCATGACTCCGCGGCCTCGAGGGAGGAGTGAGGCTGTAGCCCCAAGAGCTGCGCGGAGCAGAGCTGCCAGGAGACCAAGCTGGGCGAAGAGGCGCACGCCTTTGGAAGCCGAAAGCAGCCAGAGCCAGAGCTTTGATGCTACTGGTTCGCTTCGGTTTGCTCAGGTGCTTCGAAGACGACGAACGTCTTCCGCCCGAGCTTCATCGACCCTACCTAGTTCCGAGTACCAAAGTCATCACAATCCAGCCGAGCATCCATTGAATGACTTTCGCTCCGGGGTGTCGTAGGCAGCGAGGACCTCGACGTGCTTCATCACTCGAACACCACTTTATGTCGTCTACCCCTAGAGCCAAGCCACTGCCCAGGAGCTCTCTAACGAAGCACTGCTGAGCAACACATCAACATGGACACAGACAGGGTTGCATAATTCTACATCCTGCCATGTTTACGCACGGTTGCTTCTCTTCATTCATGCGCCCGGAATAAGCTCATGCCGTCCCTTTGATTTGCGAGACTCTGCCTGGCTTCCATTCGCCTCCAGAGCCTACAGGGCCTGAGAAAGCTACTTCCAGTAGCATCACTATCGCCCTAAGTCTCAGTAGCATTGACCCCTTCATAGAGTGTTAGTTGTGACTGTTCAGATTCATACATGCTTCAGGACTTTGCAAGTCTGCAGCCGGGCCGGGGCCTCGGTCTCGTTCCAGGTCAGCAGAGTCTCCTCTTCGACAACCTGGCGAAGAAAAACGGCGCGCTTATAGCATTGCGCGGAGTGTGGGGCTCCAATCTAGCAGGCAAACAGGAATCTAGTCGTCAAGGAGACGGCTGTGGTCTACAGAGCAGAGTCTCACTATCGAGACTCGAGACTATCACGAGACTTTGCCCTGGCTGAACTTACGTGCTTCAAGGGTAAGGAGTCAGCCTGCACGGCGGTGTGGACCTCGGCGAGCTGGACACGCTCGGCTTTGGACACCACGGTCTTCTTGTCTTGCCTCGGGCAAGGTTTTGCAAGTAAGGGGAGACGAACTGCTCGGAGCTCGCTGAGCATCCTTGCTGAAAAACCCAACAAAGTACTTATCTGACAATGGCCAGTGTGCCAATGGCTGGGAGTCAGGACCGCGGCATCTTCAGCGATCTGCGGGTACGGGCACTCGTGCGGGAAGGTGTAGTGCATCCACTGGGCGAAAAGCCGTCCGTGCAGGGGCACCTGACCGTCGTTCTGCTTCGCGATGAGGTGTAGCTTCTGCTCCAGTGCGGAAGGGATCTGGCGCGGAGCGTCGACGGTGGCCGAGGACATGTTCACCACGAGGTCCAGCAAGCGATGGGCCGTGGTTGTCGGAGCCAGCACCTTGGCCTCCAACTCGTTCATCAGCCCTTCGCACTCGTTCAGGCAGCAGACGGAGTAGTAGGAGGAGGATGCGATGCAATTCGAGGGACCAGTCATGTAGTTGGCAATGCGAACATGCAGGTCTCCCGTGCCGGACTCCTGCAGAGCCCCGATCTGTCGAAGGTACTCCCGGGTCTCCGTGAAGTGGTACTCCGCATTCTCCGGCTGCGAGTAGAAGCGACCCAAGGGCACCAGGCCATTGCCTGAGGTCCAAAACATTGCGCAGAATCTCTGGAAATCCTGAACATCCGCTAACAAGTACTAGTTTGCTTCTGAAATTCCCAGCCCGACACTGCATGATTTTAGAGTGGATCTTTTGCTCTTCCTGACTGAACACACCTGTTGCAGGCCTCGTGCTTCCATTACTGTACCTGCGCTCCTTTGTCCTGCCCGTCTGCTGGCATTCCATTTACGTTTTCTTGTGAATCTTCCTGGTTGTCTCCCCACTGCCAGGACACTTTACATGGCGTGGCCAGGTGCTTGTGCATGCATCTTGCTTCCGAGCTTTCGTATCGATATTTCTTGTCGTGGCTTCGGTTGCCTTTATGGAGTTTATTCACCTTCTCATCCATAGACTCACAAGCGGGAATGTGCGGCCAGAGATTGAAGCATTCAGCCTCATGTTCCATGTTTGGTTCCGGAGCTTTGTGTGGCAGCCTACCTTCCGTGTTTGAGGATTCCGGGAAATGACGCATGAGTGATGCCAGCCATTTTCGTGCCTTGCAGGTCCAGTTCCATGAGCTCGCTCTTCATTTGCTGACACTCCAGGTTCTGCCATTTGCCATAATCTCCTGTGAGCCCTTCTACGATGACCACCGCATCCTCGAAGGAAAATGTAGGCGAGGTCAGAAACGGGTTGCGGATATCTTTGTTGGTGAACTTGAAATTCGACACTGCATCCTCCTCAAACTCCACGAGCAGTGGCCAGTTCCCTCCAACCTCTGACGCGCGCACCTTCAAAGCGTGATGCAACTCTGGATTCTGCAGCATGGCTCTTTCACCCATCTCGAAAAGAATCAAGTATGATGTCAAGACATCATGAATGCCCACTTCGTCGATGGGGGTCTCCATTGGAAGGGAGTTCAAGCTGTAAGAAGCCTGTAGAAGCTTGATAGCCTCGTCGAAGATGAGGCGCTCCAGGGTGGCGAGCATGGCCACGGCGTCGGCGAGCGCGAGGCCGCGGCCCTTTCTCTGGGCCTCCAAGAGGGACTCCACGAGTGCCGGGGCCTTGTCCTGCAGGATGTTGACTTCGTGGACCTGTGACATGTCGGCCTGGTGGCCGTGCGGCTCCAAGCCCTTGATGAGCCAGCCGTGCTCCTTGGCGAAGTAGTTGTGCACGAGATATCGCACTGCGCGAGGGCCGATGTGGCCGAACTCGTTCTTCGGCAGCGACTGGTAGGTCTGCCAGATGCTCTGCTCGATCTTCTCGAGCTTCGACCACGACCCGCCCCGCAGCACCTCCTGCATGGAATCCTGCAGGGATGGTTCGCCGGACTCGGATCGTGAAACATGGCAGCTGTTGGATTGCACATACATACGAACCCTCCTGCCTGAAGCGACTGCTGTATCTCCTCCAGGACTAGCTGATGGTTGCCACGGATGTTGGCACCTGCATCCACAGAACCCAGCAGAGCCAGGGATACCAAGCCCAAGAGCACCTCGGCTCGCGCAGCAACCGCAGCATTGAAATCAGTGATGCTACAAATCGACAGAACACTTCCAGAAGCTGACTTATCCTCTGCGGACTGGCAGCCATGATGACAATGTGAAAGATATGAAAGGTAGAGCTTGCGGCGATCCGAGGACCTACCGATATTTCTTGCCTTGAAGAGCTAAAGGTGAGCCAAGCGTGGCATTCGGCGATGCACATCGTTCGGCTTGGCTTGGGGCTACTTGCACTTCGCACTTTGCCTCACAGCCTTTGCTATTGGCAGAGAGTCAGCCTTCCGGATTCTCGGGCATCTGGTGTGGAGTCTCTGCCGGCACCTGCAAGACAGCTACTGGTATGTCACCACAGGACTTGATTTCCGGCGACGATGGCGCAGTCAAGTCGGGCTTACCCTACCTGCTGCAGATCCGGAGCCGGCTCCGATGGAGCTTGCTTCTCTGAAGGATCCTGATGTAGATGAGAGGTGTAAGCCGTAAGCTCCGACACGCAAACGGACTTTCTGGCCTCGGAAAATTTGGTGTCTTTCGCAGGAGGCTTGGCAGCCTTCCACACCCGCACCCTCCCATGCACGCTCTTACTGTTGTCATCTGGTCAGTGGGTGACAACCGGCTAGCGCCAGGCCGAGCAAGTGTTGAGGCTTGGTAATGTGCTGTGGCCTCCGCTTCACTGCTTTGGTGAGCTTTGGCGGCTTCTACCTGAAGCCAAAGCCAGGAGGTCAACAACTCAATTCGACAAGTCAGCGAAGGATGAAGCTGCGGCATCGCGTTATGCAGGAGTGGGCAAGCCTGATTCTGGGTCAAAAGCTGGCCAGGTGGTAGGATGACCCCACTGTCAACCAGCATAACATTACGTCTCACATGTCTCACGGCCTCCTGTCGTTTGCTACCGGCGTACATGGGCCCTGGACTCGAGCTCGTTCCTTGTACCGTTCGCTCAGGCCAGAGCCAGGTCCCGGAGCTTGGCCACGGCGTCGGCGCGGCCGGCAGGGTCTCTGCCGCAGACCTGGCAACAGACTCAAAGCCTCTCAGGACCCAGGCTCGCGACATCCCGTGACAAGTTCAAAGGGTCCAAAACTTGCTGCCAGCAGACCAGGATCTTGCACGTTGCCTCAGTGACACACAAATAGCTCAGGCCCGCAGATGTTCGAAATGACAGCTTCTCCCCTGTCGGCCCACGATCGATGAAGATTCCAGGCTGTCAGCAAGCTGAGCCTCTGTCGAAGCCTGGCTGCCCCTCCACCTGGAAAGCTGAGGACTGCGCGTCTGGCCGCCAGTCGCTCTTGCTGCCACAGCCCTCTGGCATGACCACCTCAGCAACAGTGCCAAGCGCTGAAGCAAACGCTGCTGGCAGGTCGCAGGGCTTTCGGTTCTGCTTTGTCTCGCAACTGGCCTGTCGACAAATCTTGCAGCACTCAGGCAGCAACAATCGTCTTGGTCTTCTTCTCCAAAGTCTCAGGGAGCAGCCACGTTCTGATTCTGCGCCTACCCTTGAGAACATGGGGCAGGATGGCAAGACGAGCTGGTTGCTCAGGTCTGCACTCGCAGCTCCACTGGTTCTAACCAGACCTCCGAGGTTTGCACTTGTTCAGTAAGCTCCTGCTCACAGGCGCTCCTCTTTGCTGCCTAGGAGCTGCTTGTGAGCACGTAGTCTCGACAACGTCGACGTCGCCTCGCAGCTTCCAAAGCCCCACGTCACGTTGATGCTTCCGAGCTGGGAGTCCGAGGGCCCGACTTCGGGAGCCCGAGCTTGAGCGGGCCCGCACGCTGCGGTCGAACAGTGTCACTGCGTGGCTCGCCGCCTTCGGAACGTTCTCTCCGACTCTCTCCGAATCCCATCACCACTTCCATTTCGTGTATACGTGAGGCCTGCAGCATCTTCAAGGTTCAGCAGCCGAAAAACCCGAACCCTGCCTCCTCATCGACAGGCCGCTCCACGCAACGTGTGGTCGCACCATCAGCACCCGTGCCACGCCTGGCCAAGCTTGGGCTCCTGAAACAATTTGGGCGGAGGGAAAAGTAACCACGCCGGTGCCGCAGGCGTAGGGTGTCGCCCTCAGTGGCAAGGGTGGTGATGTCTCGGACCTGTGATATCAGAGGTTGGGTCCAGCTTTAGTCGTGTCCATTTTGATACTGAGATTCGGATGGTACAGGCTGCACTTTCAGGCACTCCCACTTCTCGTCCCGCCCACCTTGCAGACTCCATTCATGAAGAAGTCCAGGCTGAGCGGGGCGTATGCACGGGTGCTTTCTCCTAATCTAGGCAAGCGCCCTCTTGCTCTGCACGAAGTTGAAGCTATCAACATCTATGAATCAGCACGTCTGTGCAATCCTGAACCCCAAACCTCAGACTCTACCAGAACCCACAAATCATACAAGCCCCAAACCCTGAGACACAACAGTGAGCTGCAGCGAAGAAACCATCGCCGCTCGCCCAATCGCAGAAGCAACTGGTCCCCGTCGCTGTCGGTCCAGCGCACGGCATCCTGGCCCGGCGGGCTTAGTCTTAGTCTTGTGGACATGCACGCATTCCTGACAGTGCCAGAGGTTTTTACCTATTACCAAATACGACTGCTGCAACTGCTACTCCTGCTTACGCTCCTGCTACTGCTCCTTCTGCTACTGTTGCTCCCACTGCTACTGCCGCTGCTGCTGCCACTGCTACCGCTATTCTGCTACTGTTACTGGTACTCGTACCCTTTCACAACCCTTGATGGTAATTACTTCTGAATTGGAGGGGACCGTGTCCGAATGAGCAGGGAATCTTAGAAGCAAACCTGCGGGTAAGCTTGACAAAGAGGCTAGCCGCCAGATGGGCTGAGCTGCCGGAGTTGCGATGAAGTCACGTGAAACCAAGCTGCACGGAGAGGAAGCCTTGAATTTCAATATTCTTCCCCCACGAACCAATCCCATGCACGAAGGGCTTGAAAGCTCCTGCCCGATCGCCGAAGTCGTTGTTGCTGGAGCTACCTGACTGCGCTCACGCCTGGGGCAGCGGAATGCCAATGGCCAATGGCTAACATTCGAGAATGAATGTCCAGGATCGGTGAATGTACTGCGCATCTTTGAGATGTCTCTTGGCCCCGGGACTCCTCGGATGCCAACCATTCCAAGTAATCTTTGCCTGGGCAGGTGGCCATCTCTCTGGGGTGTGGCCGCGCAGATGCTGGGGTTCTTACAGAAAGCTTGCCAAACATACTCGTACCCATGTTCTGACTTTGTTGCCACTGTGGCATACTGGAGTTTTGGGAGAGGCACCCACACCGGCATCACAAGAACAACTCGTTCAGCAACAAGGCAGACTAGCAATGCACCCTCCAACCATCAGCACAATTTGCCGGCCTCGGCTGCGCTCCTCCGATGCGCCAACCATCAAAAGGGCCCATCGACCTGACTCCACCACAAGGAGCTTGATGCTGCAGCCCCCTGCTGCAGAAAAGCACCCACAACTGCCAAACCACCAGCCTCGCTACCATGATGATACCAATATCCACCACTCACGGCCACTCTTCCTCCTCGTTTTCTTCCTCCTCCTGCTCACTTCACTCCTATACTCCTGTGCTCCTACATTCCTGTAGCTGTCGCTCGTACTGCCAATGTTGCTGCTACATACTCCTCCTCCTCCTTCCGCTGCCGCTACTGCTAACCAGACCACTGCTGCTACGTACGGTGACCAGCACGACGGTCAATGAATTGAATCCAGGTGGGGAGTGCAATACCGGCAAGCTGCCAGCGAGTCTGGGCAGCTTGCGAAGAAGCTCTATGTGGCATCCTGCGGCCGTGCTCGCTCGGCGCACGGCTTCCTGAAAAGGGCATTCGGCCACTGGAGGCGGCAGGGAACACACCCTTTCCTGCCTTCAGCTGCTTCTTGAGATGATGCAGGAGCGCCCCTGCACCTGGCCCGGGTAAGTGCCGGATGTGGAAAGTCTCGCTCTTCGATGCTCTGCCTTGAGTGGACAGCGGAATCACATTGATATCAATGGAAGTGTCCTGGCATTTCGAACATCCTTCTTGAGGCCCTCAGAGATCGCTCGAGTCTGCACGACATTACACTGGAAGCGGGCTGCCTCGCCAACGCTTCCTCTGAGCTCCTGCTAGCATGGCTTCGGTCCACGTCTACGGCGCTCGACCGGCATGGAGACAAACTGACAGGTCCCTTCCCACCTCCGTAGTTCGAAGGAGCTCAGTGGTCCACAGGCCAGGACACTGCTCCTCGACCTGCCAAACGTCAGAAGAACTCAAGGATAGAGCTATCGACCCCAGCAGCATTGCAGCATGCTCGTCTATACACCTCAAGGCTGTGCTCTCGTTTCAAGTTTGCCAACAGGCAGGCTGCACAATGGTCGCGATCTTGACAACCACAATCTTCCGCTCTCGCCTAAGGCACGGGACCCTAAACTGATGCCAGACGCTCGAAGTGCGAGGCTGGCGCAAGGGTCCGAATACCGCCATTCGCCAAGCCGAGGCGAGCCAATGCTCATGCTTTTGCCTGCGAAGGGCCCGGATGTGCCTGCATTGCATAGGTCCACAGCCCAGCCGATCTGCCTTCTCTTTGACTCCGCAGAGGGCTTGGGCTTCACATCCTGGGAGAGGGTTGGAAAGCTTCGCAGTTTACGCTCCAGCTCGCGCCGGCTGCATGTGAAGGCGATGTGTCATGGGCCATGACCCTAAACCCTTACACCCTAAACCCCACAACCCTGAACCCTAATCTCTAAACCTGAAATCCAACATCTACGTTAGATGGGGGCGGCTGCTTATCTTGGCACATGAGACTAGGCCAGTCCTGCCGGGGAATCCTTGACGTACTGGAATCACAACTCCAGCGAACCTCCACCTGAACCGTCCGACAAGTCTGGATCGGTTGCATAAAGCAATACGAAGCAGAAGCCGCAGGTGCAGAAAGAACACAATTTTGGACTATGATGCTTCCCAGCATGTGGTCATGAAGTGTGTGGCTGAAGCTGAAGTGGGACGACGCAAAACTCTGCCAGAAAGCTGCTCAGCCCTTTGACATTTGAGGCGGACCTTCCCGCCCAATGCGTCGACATCTGTGACCGTCGCGTCGTACCTGAGCGCATGCAACAAGTTTGAGCCGCAGTGTCCCTCACTCCCGACTTCCTCAGTTCAAGCACGAACAAATCGCCAGAACAGCTAAGCAAAGAGTCAAGCAAAGAAAGGGCAGTAGGCCAGTGGCCAGTCGCCGTCCTCAAAGACGGCACGGACTTCTACTCCGGGCCTGACCTCCTGCAGAAGATACGAGTAGCAAACTGCAAAGCGGCTCGTCAAGCGATCACATAAAACGGCAGCTCTCTCAAATGCCTCGTCCATCTCCAGCTCGGCCTCAAGAAACAACAGAGGGAGTGCGCCACAGAGACATGTTACGAGCAAAACTTGTAAAGGAGTCGGCCGGAGCACGGGTTTTCGGCTCCTAAACAGCAGCTGCAGCTCAGCACGCGGCTTTCAGTTTCTGGCTGTCGGTCTGGGAATCGGTTTGCTTGCACCAAACCGCCGACCTGGAGATCGATGGATGCAGACCAAGCAATGCAGCAGCGGCTCTTCTCCTCGCACCAGCGTGGAGGCTTGGACTCGCGCACCCCAAACTCGGCTTCTAAGCTTTCCAGCTCTTTCTCGACAGCCTGGCACAGCAAGGACTCACTACTGGCAACAGGAAACCCGGCTTTTGGATGATCTTTCCAGATGCTGCAGCTGCAGATCCGGGTGATCAGGTTGTGACCATCCGAATGCAGCTTCGCCACTCCATTATTCAATTTCACACCGTGCTGGCTGCGGTGTCTTTGGCCAGAGAAGGGCTGACTCGAAACCTGTTCATCTCCGGCCTCCGCCGCAGCATGTGGGACCCTAATGCTGGCCTCGGCAGCGGGTGCACTTCGTCGGGAAGGGCGCTCAGGGCATGGCATAAGCTTTCACACTCATCAAGCTTACCACGAGTACTTAGTGAGTGCTCAGGCTCTGCTTGCCCAGTCCATCAGCCCCTTGCCGCGAAAGCTTCAAGCTCGTGGGGCACCTGAGCCACGAATCTATAAGCACGAAGCCTTCTACCATGTTCCGCCAAAGTTCGCATGCGAGAAACATGAGAGGTGCCTCCGGTGCCCACATCTGTACCTGACATATGCTCGGGGTGGCTGGCACGACAGCATGCTCGTTCCATGGCTCGAGCCCTACTGCAACAGACGAATCGGCTCACCATCTTGAGGAATCGTTGGCCGACCCGACGAGCAGGGAGAGGCCCGACAAGGAGGCCTCAGGGCACAATTGGCGCGAGTAGTGCCAAGGCCGTTCCATCGAGCTAGAGCGATTCCGAGCTGCCACGTGACATCTCCACTTTCGGATGCGACTGCACTTGCACAAGGAGCAGCAAAAAAGGCCGGGAACCACACTCACGAGTCCCACGTGCGAGGAGAGGACCTTCAGGGAAACGTTGAGTGCCACTTGGAGGCCGGGCCCAAGCCAGACGGGCCTCGAGGCAGCGCGGGAGGACCCGGAGATATCGGGCCAAGGCCGCTTCGCCGCCGTAGACGGGGGTTCGCAGGCAAGAGGCTCCAAGCCCTGTGGCAGAGCTCGAAGAGTCGGAGGGGTGTGGCATCCGCTCGAGTAGACCAGGGAGCAGCTCCTCGCTGAGCTGCAGGAGCGCCAGAATTCCTGGTTTCGGATCCTGGCTGAAGACCAGCAGCTGCAGCCATGAACTCGCCTTCGGGTCGTCGGAACCTGACTTCAGGAAGCCGAAGATCACCTGGTGCTTCTCCATGAGCCTGCGAAGCTCAGCTTGTCCTTTCTCCAGAAGCTCTTCTGATAGCAGGATGTCTGTAGCCGCTTGTTCCACCTCAGAGCACAGAAGACGGGACGGGACGCAAAGGTGGTGGGTCTATCAAGTCCCCAGCCTCGGGTGACTCGGAAGCTATTGGCCGGCTGAGCAAAGTTCCGGCGAGGGCCTCCGCCACCAAGGCGGCCCTCGCGGGCGCAGGAGCCCCCGCCACGGACAGCCAGACCTGCTCTGGTCCCAGAAATCGGGCTTTCTCTGAGAGTCTTTCAAGGGCTCTTCGCTCTTCGGGGACGGCCTCTCCAGCCTGGAGCTCTCGAACTTCCAGCTGCTCATCGCCGAGCTCCTCCTCGGAAGCGGTCATCGGGAGATTCCGAAGCAGCAAGCATGCTTCGACCGCAAGCACTAGACGAATGTAGCCCATGACACTGGTGCAATGGCAAGCCCTGCCAAACTCACCTGGACCTAAATAGAGTTGCTGACAACTGCAATTATGGTGTTGTTAGTTCTGCAGCAATCATGTTCCTAGTTTCTAGTCTAGTTATGTTCAGCCACCTGTCTGGCACAGTTGTGGTAGTTGCAGCAGCTTCATCCCATCAAAAACCGACACCGCAGTCCTCGCCGTCTGAGAAGCGAGTTGTCCAGAAGACAGCGCCTGTTTCCGACTCCTCCCTCCTGCAGTCTCGCCGCAAGTGCCGTGTCAGGGATCGAGCTGTAGCGCAACATTTACCAGCATTGTCTACACGGCGCACTACTGAACGAGCACGGGGAAGAAACTTTCACTTCTTGTCCTGCTGACAACTCGCCCAAAGCGACCCTCTCGTAGCCCCGCAACCACCACGACCGGAGCACCTCAGGAGACGATGGAGAGTCAGCAGAATAGCGGGACAGCGCGATTCACTGGGCCTGGCTGCATCACCGGGGAGGCGGTAATTGAGATGTCTGGGTCCTGCAGGGATGCCGGGCAGCCTGGAAGCCTCATTCCGAAACCGCGGTGGCGCCGCGGACCTGGACCCAGCCGCTCCCGTCCACACGTCGCCAGCCTTGCCAAACACGTCCAGTTTGACAGGTTCTGCGGGGTCGGAGAGATGAACTGTTCCGCCATACTGCAGGGTTTTACTCGTATTGAGAGCGGAGGGAGATCTACTCGAATGCAAGATTCAACGGCACCTACAGAGCCGAACAACCGGGGCCGTCGCCACCTGGTTCGAGCCTGGCCCATTTTCATCAGCATATTCCGAACAAATGTGATTGTCACAGATCTTCGCAGTATCGTTTACAAGGCCTCTTAAGCTGGCGAGAACGGCAAAGGCATGCGATGGCCAAGAGGACATGCTCAGGACTCTGCATGACTCTGCCTGTGTGGCAGGTGTCCCCCGTGGACTTTGGCCTGGTGCAGCAGGCCGGAGCCTCGGACTCGCAGGGACTCGCAGCGTCTCCGATCTACGCTTCGCCTCTTGAAGCAGCACTTTAAAAAAGGAGTACTGAAAAGAGCTGCGGAACGGCACACGAAATCCATGTCTCGCTGCTTCACTCCACCCACCAGCCACGTGCCTGGCAAAGTCCGAATAGGTCGTTCATGCGCTTCGCATCAAGTACGGCTGTGCGTTGCCACCACAAGGTATTGAATTAATTGTAGGTCAATTAATTGTAGGTCAGGCACTATCTGTGCCGCTGTAGACCCATCGATTGGCATCGACCTGGCATCAGAAGAAAAGCAAATGATCTTGAAAGCCCAGTGTCGCAGGATTGTTGGCACAGCACCCTGCCACAGCCGGCCAGGCTGCCTTCTTCCAAATGGGCTGGCTGTTCACCGTCTTTCTGGCGAGGCGCCTGTACTTCCCAGCACCTTACAAGTACTAAGCACACAGATCTCGAGCAGATACTGTCGCAGCATGTGCATGAGCAGCGGACACACGCGCTGGCCATTCGGGCAGGCGATCTCCAAGTATCTGGGAACCTATCAGATCCCAAGTGGGCGAAGACTGGAGCCGTTCGCCTCGCCCGCCTCGCCCTCCCACTCCGTCTGCCCGACATTTGCCGGGAAGATCTCCGCCTCAACCTGCACATCAGCTTACCATCATCCAGCCCCTCTTCGAAGAAGAATGTTGGCCAACTGTTCTTCCTAAATCACCCTGTTTCTGCCTCGGCAATGCATCGGAGGTGACCCAGGCACCTTGGAGGAGCATGGATGCAGGATACTGACCGGGAGCAGCCTAGACGCCCGCCCCTTAAGCAGCTGGCTCCTGGATCCTGGGCACTGCCTCTGTTGGCACAGAGACGGCCAGCACACCGGGTCCCTGCAACACCGGCTCCTGACGGTAGGCATTAAGGTCGATGGTGCGGCTTTAAGTGGCTGGTATCGTGCCTCTGCGAGGAGGTCAGCCTCCAGACTGCCGTCCAGATTCTCCAAGGCCGTGGCCTCCACCTCGTCGTGAAGATTCTGAGGCCCGCTTCTGATACACCGAGCTGCAGCTGCAGATTCTGACAGCACAATCATGTCTATAGCAGGACCATGCCGATATCCTGCCTCCGTATGAATCCCAGATGTCACAGCATAGACAGTCGGACGACCGGGTCTTGTAGGGAATGTTGCAGGCATCGCAAGATGGAAATACATGACCATTACATGACCATATACCTCTTCTTAAAGACTCGCCTGGCCATGATCCGCTGGTGGAACTTCCGCAGCTGCCTCGCTAGCAGGACCGGCAAATATTGGATTCTGAAACTGTTTGGGGCTACACGGTTAGACCATGCGAGACAAGGTGTTGCTGGCCGTAAGGATCATGTTTGCCACACGACTGGACGTGCGGCATCTCGCCTGTCTGGGTGGAGGAGATAGAGTGCGTTCGGCTGGAACCTCCACACTCCTCGGCAAAGGCGCTGCACAGGAACAGGAAGTCATCCGATGATGTACCAGGGATGGAATGGAGGGAAGGATGACAGGTGGCAACCGACTTGGGAAGGACGCGCACAGCTCCAGAGGAGACTTGGTGTCTTCCCGATTCTTATGGGACTGAAAGATGTTCAAACCGAGCAGATATTCTTGCAGATGAAGAAGGTTCCCTCCTACCCCCCAGAATCCCCCAGACATGCTCGATCGCTGAAACGCACAGACACAGAAAGAAATTGAGGTCAGCCTTGCGACGCTGAAGTTCAAAGCCACTGCCAGCTCAAGAGAGTCCGTGACTGCCGCTGTGCGTTTCTATGCGTTTCTCTTAGGTTGCTTGCTTGTGCAGCCGTTGCAACGTGACGCTTGCATCAAAGAATCCCAAGCGGCGTATCGCTCCTTCTCCCTTTGCGTGGCCTGGGCACATTGATTCTCGACAGAGCCCAGCACCGCTTGAGAACCTAACTTTAACCATTATCACACACACTTTATGCGGGTGCGCCGCGAAGGTGCGCCTTCAGCCGCATTCGGGTGTTTGGCTTTACGCCCTTTCCTTCTTGCTTCCTGGGATGTTGCAAAGAGGACAAATCACTTCTGATGTACACAAGCTCAACGCTGGCGTTATCTTCTCACGCTGATCCTATGTGTTGATGCCAGTGATGCCAGTCCGATGCCCAGCAAGCTCTGCTGCAAGATTGACGAGGTCTTCAAAGCCAAGCAACTGGGCTGCCAGGTTCGCAGGCCTGCTGTGCAGGAGCAGCGCGCTCGTCTGCAGCGCCCACGCATCCTCAGAACTCGTTGAATTCCCCGCGCAGAAGCCCCTGCTATCCACTATTACTCGACGAGCCGTCCTCACTCATGCTTGTGAAGCAGACGCCGCCGCAGGAACACCAGAGACACTGAAGAGCCTTCAAGTAGTTACTAAGTAGTGACCCCCCAACTAGACCAAGCTCCCGTTTCCGTCGGCCTTCGTCTGGTTCGACTGGTCCGGCACCCAAGTTCCTGCGACAACTCGAGCAGTTCGCAGCTTTCCATAGCTTTCCCTTGGCAGAAGCAACCAGGCATATCCACCAGCTTGCCGCCAAGAAGCTCTGATGCCCCTGTCCGCTGGAGCTTCGGCAAGCCCTGGCCGTCAACGTCAAGCGGCACCAGGCGGCAGTGTGCAGATGCTGCTGACGATACGACCAGTGCTGCAAAAACTTCAGGCGAAACGGATCGGTGCATGCTGCCTGCATTGCTGGGCTTCCGCTTCTCCTCGGCTCCAGGGAGCAGAACTCCTTCTGAAGATGCAAGTTGCCACGGCTGAATACCCCAAAAAGTCTGATCTGTCGCTAAGGCTCTGGGAGCCCGCGATATTGGGCGAGCCGTGGCCGCCGTGGCCCTGCCCACAGAAGACAAGAAAATTTCACGCCACAAGACCCGTCCGAGTCCAGGCCTCGGCTGCGCGCTTCGATCGGATTCGCTTTGAGGGCGTACGCTCTGGAACCGAGGACCTCACTGCTTTAAGCGCTTCGTCGGTTCACGATCCGAACTGCGCGGACTGCTGAAGTCTCGCAGACTTGCCGATGCCCAACCTTTCCAGTGCTGAAAGATGCTGACAGCAGGGCTTCTGGCGGTGCATCGCAGTGTACAGGAGAGGTTGACGAAGCCGCCTCGCGTGCGTCACTCTTCGTAGGCAGCAGGCTGTGTGTTCTGCAAGTACAACATCCACGAGACAGCGTGCGCGTACTGCCCACCTCTTCTTTGGGCAGGTCCGACTCCCTGATGCCAGGCATTGTATTGTAGATCTTGGCCTATCTTGGCACCTACCCGGACAGTTATTGAAGAGTCTTTGTTTGGTCGTGCATCTTGCTCGTGTATCTTATTCCAGCAGCATGCGAGACCCTAGATACTCTGAAGCTCAACTTTCGAATCCAGGCACACAGCGACCGTCCGCCACCTGTCATCGGATGCGAGCGGCACTGCCTCCGCGCACACATCATACAACTTCATAATGATACACAGCTGAACACGAGTAACGATTGGGAAAACTTCTGGCAGTGCTTGAAGCCACTGAGACGACCCTAACCAGCCAGGCAGATGTTCAGGGATTTACAGCACCGCCATCCAAAGTAGGAAGTGTAGCGACAGCAGCAAAGGGAGCCCTCTGCACTGCTCTGCACCCGTGCACTCTGCCTTGGCAGCTGCAAGAGCTTGAACAAGCTGCAGCGCCTTGGAGAGCGACGAAGAAGTAACAGACTCAGAGTGTGCAGATCTCATGCCTTGCGTATAGTGTCCGCCTTGAGATGCCTAGGGGCTAGAGCTCAAGCAGCCTCGATAGCCCGCGGCACGGAGGCTTCGCCGAACCATAGAACGGGGTAGCGCAAGACACGCCACAAGCCTGTATCAAATGGGCAACTTCATGTCAACGTAATATCACGCCGCACACACAGCCCTGGTAACTGCAGCGACAACTCGACCGCCGTGCTGCTGGCTGGCATGGTAAGCCGGCATAGCAGATCTTCTCCCAACACACTATCCGATTCACAAGCTAGTTTCGATTTGAAGGCCATAGGCCACTGGGCGAAAAACGCTACCGGCCATGCAAAGTGCCGACTCCTTGAAACCACCACACCACGTTTGCGAAGACGGGATGCCCGCTGGCCACCACACAAAAGCTCGGCAAAAGCACCCGGTCAGGACACCAACTCAACATTTGGATAGGCCAAGTGTCGAATGGCTCCAACCTGTCGAATTAAGTTACGTCAGATAGAGCTAATACTTCTGCCTTCACCAAGCCGTCAGACTCTTCCTATCAATTGTGATTTCATCCTTTGTCTGACGACATCAACCACGCCTTTCTGCAGACTTGCGTTCTGGACGCAGCACGAATCACGTCGTGTCAGATAGAGCTAATACTTCTGACTTCACCAAGCCGTCAGACTCTTCCTATCAATTGTGATTTCATCCTTTGTCTGACGACATCAACCACGCCTTTCTGCAGGCTTGCGTTCTGGACGCAGCACGAATCACGTCGTGTCAGATAGAGCTAATACTTCTGACTTCACCAAGCCGTCAGACTCTTCCTATCAATTGTGATTTCATCCTTTGTCTGACGACATCAACCACGCCTTTCTGCAGACTTGCGTTCGGGACGCAGCACGAATCACGTCGTGTCAGATAGAGCTAATACTTCTGACTTCACCAAGCCGTCAGACTCTTCCTATCAATTGTGATTTCATCCTTTGTCTGACGACATCAACCACGCCTTTCTGCAGACTTGCGTTCTGGACGCAGCACGAATCACGTCGTGTCAGATAGAGCTAATACTTCTGACTTCACCAAGCCGTCAGACTCTTCCTATCAATTGTGATTTCATCCTTTGTCTGACGACATCAACCACGCCTTTCTGCAGACTTGCGTTCTGGACGCAGCACGAATCACGTCGTGTCAGATAGAGCTAATACTTCTGACTTCACCAAGCCGTCAGACTCTTCCTATCAATTGTGATTTCATCCTTTGTCTGACGACATCAACCACGCCTTTCTGCAGACTTGCGTTCTGGACGCAGCACGAATCACGTCGTGTCAGATAGAGCTAATACTTCTGACTTCACCAAGCCGTCAGACTCTTCCTATCAATTGTGATTTCATCCTTTGTCTGACGACATCAACCACGCCTTTCTGCAGACTTGCGTTCTGGGCGCAGCACGAATCACGTCAGATAGAGCTAATACTTCTGACTTCACCAAGCAGTCAGACTCTTCCTATCAATTGTGCTATCATCCTTGCCCGTACATATCCGATCCAAGTCGGCACAACGGAAAGGCCCTGGCTTCACGAGGCAATCGGGCTCTTGGCAGGCATCTGATTTTTACGTCATGCAACTCGGCCACAGCTGTATGACTGTGCAGTGCTGAGTGCTTCTGCCTGAGATCTTCTAGTATCCGAGCATTCGTCTGCAAGAGGTGCAGCGGGCCACAGACTGATCTCGTCAAGCACAGCCGATCTGGTGACTTCAGCGTGCATGGAACATGAGCGAAGGCAAGAGCAAGGCGCGTAGGCTTAGACGCAGTCATCAGGCAACACTCAAGCAAAGAGGGACACCGTGCGTGGCGAGGTTGACCATCACGACTTTCGCTCAGACTTAAACATGTGCTACCAGGTCCGCAAGGCTCTTCTAATGGCTCTGATTTTGATCGAGGGGATCTGGCTTGGCATGGCAGCAATGCACAGAGTGGCAAGGCAGCCCTTTTTGTTGAGCACTCGCTGGTGCCGAGCGGGCATAGCGCATAGCGCCGAGTCTTTCACCTCACTCAACAAGTAGAGCGCCTATCCTGCTGGTGGACCCATCCGCCTAACTATTCTTTCGCCACGTCCTGTGCTGCCTATGCTCTGCAGCACCATCATTACACGAACAACGAACACAGATCCTTGCCGGTGGGGCCCGCGTTCTTCGCAGGTCACTCCCATCTCCAGCCGTCCACAGCCTCCAGCTCTCGAACCTGACAATTGTATACTCCCGCACTGCAGGGCCCTCCCAACACAAGATTCGCCCCCACAACAGAAGGAAGATGAAGCCTTCATGAGCCGTTACAAATGAAGGCAGAACGGATGGGGGAGGTAACATGGGGGTAGGTAGAATACCTGCGACGCGCCTTTCACGAACGCCAAGCAGGTGAGACGAAGTATGTCGAACCCTCCGGGGGTTAGTGGTGGGTTAGCGGCACATTGGTGACCACACACTAGTTAGTACCGCAGTCACCAGAAGGACCAGAACCCTCGGTAGCTTTTTTCGTTCTCGCAAGCTTCGGCGCTGGTGCGCAAGCCAACGTACCTGGCAGTGCGAGGACATTGACAATCAACAGACGGGGATTCTGTGCCAGTCTTGCACATCACAAACCCATGTTTTGCCCCTGCAAACGTCGAACTGAAAAAAACAGTGACTCAGCCACTGGGCAATGCAGCAAAGCTTGTGAAGGACCCCGATTATTATTAGTTAGTATAAGATGGATTTATCACCGCTGCAATTTGCATTGCCCAGCGACTTTGAGGAGTCCTTGCTTGGCATAAATAATTTATTGTCAAGTCTGGGACGGACCGACTAATGATGGCAACACTCCAATCAAATGCCGAGGAAGGTCCTCCTCGTCCACATCACCCAAATATAGGCGTTCCGCAATCTTGACCTTGTTTTCAAGGTGTGACACAAGCCTTTCCAGAGCATGCTTCTCGTTGTTGAGGGACCCCAGCTCCTGCTCCATGGCCACGATCTTTGCCCGAAGTTCGATCACTTCCTCGACAGGCGACCATTCGAAATTTCTCGTCTGTCTGATGTTAATAAGTGATATAATATATAATTATGGTAAATAGAATTATATATTGTCGGCCGAGACTCCTTGCACCAGACACATGGCACAGCTGCCATGGCCGTGTCAGCCTCCACGTCCGAAAGCTCTTCCTGCTCTCTGCAAGGAACTTGGAGCAAATCCGGATGTAAGACTTAACTTATTAATAAATAAATGACGCAGGCAAGCTTCCTCCTTCACGCGTGGCTCCTTCTTGACACTGCCACTATCCTGGATGGGCCCAGCAGCGGCCTCGGCGTCCTCACGGGCCTTCTGCTCCGAGTAAAGTCTGTTCAAAGCCTTCCGCCGCTCTGCTGGGGTCGTTGCCTTCTGTACGGATGGATGGTCATGGAACTTCGACTTACGCCGCTCCTTCTTCTGCTTGTTTTTCTCGTAGAGTTTGTTGAGTTCCTTCCTGCGTTTCTTTGGATCAGAAGGACCTGCCACCAGATCGTTGAATTTGGACTGATTTTTACGTACCTTGACTTTCTTCGTATCTTGCTCCACCAACTGATCATCATCTTCGGATTCCGCCATGAATCAAGGAAGGGCCGGTGGCGACTGTAGCGCCGAATTATTTATGTAATCAGTGAAATTACGTAGCAGCAAGAAGGCTATAGCCATGATCTATTCAATCATTTAGCACCGCTCTGCTACAGAGACTACTGAGATTTATTTATTATTATTATTATTATATTCTGTCAATGCGACTGACTGAACCCGTGTCAGTCCGCAGACTGCTGGCAGGAATTCGGGAGCGGTTGCACATGCAACAGAACAGACGTGACTCGACAATGACATGAATCCAGCAAAACTTCAGACGACACTTCACTGGTCTGCTGGGGCGCACTCAGCCGCTTCAACTTCCACAATGGAGGGGCCGGGAGTGCCAGCCAACCTGGGTCATCAAAATGTGACTTGACTTAACTTGAGACTGGTCCCATTCTTGAGTGAGTTGACCTCCTATTTTACTCACGCGGCGAAGCCAGTCCGTCAGCAGCTTGTCGCTGCAACAAATCATTCATCGGCGGCACATGACGAGTTCAGCCAAAATTGACTCCAGTTGGATGCGGTGTCCGGAAGTGTACCCAGTTACATATTATATTAGTTGGCTACTGACTAATTGACCGCTGGAGGGACCTTATCTGATTCACTGGAGTACTGAACATGCCAACCGCGAGTCACATGCTCAGTCTTCGACCAGCACGCTCCCGTTGCCCTTCGGCGGGGTAGCCGACTTAGCCTTCTTCTTTGGGGATGGGCTCTGACTCTTCATTGACTTCGTCGGCGTGCTCTTCTTCGGCGGCGTGCCGCTCTTCTTATTCGTCTTCTTGTTGGGAGAGGCCTTTGACTTTGGGGAAGCACTGGAGGACTTGCTGCTGAAGGGGCTGGAAGCTTCACTCTTCTTGCGACGGGCCTTCATCGGCGTGCTGAAGCGGTGCTTGGACTTGCTGGATCTCCTTCTGCTGGAGGATGAATCCTCAGAGGAACCACGACGGCGCTTCTTGTCCTTCTTAGGCTTCTTGTGGTCAGTCTTGGATCCTGCAGAAGGGCCACCAGTCCCAGCACTCGCGCCAATGCTGTCTCCGGGGACCTCCTTCAGGAAGAGGGGCTTCTCCCATCTACTCGCAATCCCGAGCTCTGACAAGAGATGGGCCACTCCCCGCATCAGCGCCCCTTTCTTGATCAGAGCACCATCGAAAAGATGGCCCCCTTCCAACGTGGTATTGTCTGAGATCATGTCATCAGGAAGGGCCACGCGGTTCTTGTCGAAAATGCTCTCCCCATTGGCAGAGTAAACGAGGAACCCCTGGCCGCCGTCTGCGTCGATGTCGAGGGACCAATACCCGTTCTGCGTCCAAAACGCCTGACGCAGGGACGCAGA